ACTCACTGAGCACTAGGGGAGACAGGATATGGGCAGGATGGGACAGACCTAAACACACACACACTTTCGCACACTAACACAAGTAGCAGACTACAAGGGGAGGAACTGGCATCAGTCTTTCTCTCTGATGAGTGTAAAATATTACAAGTTAATGTTTTTACACTTGTAAATTTGACACACATTTTTTAAATCTATTTATTCCTTTATTTGGTACAGGGCCTCACTACGCAGCTCAGACTCAGACTCAGACTCATAGTGATCTTCCTGTTGGCCTCCCCAATGCTGGGATTTCGGCATGCACCACCATGCCCAGTTTTGGTGGCCAGCATGGCATGCCAGGGTTCTCAGGCTGGCACAGCATGCCGTACCGGGAGTAGAACCCAGGTCCTTGCGCTTGCCAGGGAGATACTTAGACTGTCAAGCTATTTCCCCAGCCCATACATTCTTATACTGTAGGAAAAAGTTTTTGTTTGTTTGAGATTTTAAAGAAAAGATCTTATAAACCCCAGTTCCCACTCTTTGTCCCACTCTATCTCTGGCAGCAGGACCATAACATGAACTTTGATATGAGTAACAAGAAAAATTATCCAAACTTTGGAAACAAAGCAAGAGACAGGGCAGCATGGCCTTTGCAAGTTATATCGGGGTGTCCTTTAACACCCCTGCCAAGGATATTTCTTAGTAAAAGGCAGTGATTCCCAATATACTTCAAGGCCACTGGAAGTCCCCAAGACACTTTTGGATCCTCTACGGTCTTCCCTTGCCAACTGTATTATCTGTGAGGGCAAATTTCCTTCATACACTTCAACCAAAACAACATATTGCAAAAAATGAATGCAAAAGCTGATATGAGAATCCAGCTGTTTTCTAGTAAGCCTTTTGAGTGCTCTATTTCCAAAATAATGTCTAGGAAATAATGTGCTGTAAAGCAGTGATAGTTTTGCAAAATATTTGAAAAGTATTATCATAAAAATATTAACATGGAGTAAAAAACCCAGCCTATAGATTGGAGAAAATATCTGCAAAATATGCCTAGCAAGTGCAAAGATCCGAGTTTGATCCCTGGTACTGCAGGCTGTGTTGGCCCCAGAACCCCAACACAGTGTGTCAGTCCTAAAACAGGGCATGGTGGCACACACCTGTAATCCCAGCAGCAGGGAGGCTGAGACAGGAAGATCACTTCAAGTCCAAACTGCGTAGCAAGACCTTGTATCAAGTAAATAATAAAAATTTTAAAAGGGATTAGTATCTAAAATATATGAGGAGCTCACATAACTGGACAGCAAAAACCCAAATTAAAAATGGCCAAAGCAGGGCTGGAGAGAGAGCTCTGCAGTCTAAGTGCCTTCCTGGTAAGTGCAGGACCCTGGTTCAATCCCCAGTACCACATGCCATGCTGGAGACCTGGTGCGCACTGTTTAGCCACCAAGGCTGGGTGTGGTGGTGCACACCTATAATCCCAGCAGTGGGGAGGCTGACACAGAGGATCACTGAGTCCAAGCTGTGTAGGAAGACTTTGTACCAAATAAATAAAAGATTAAAAAATATTAAATTTTTTAAATGGCCAAAGAGCCCAAAGAGACATTTCTCCAAAGACATAAAAATAGCAAACAGGTATATGTAATGGTGAACAATATCACTGTTCATCAGTGAAATGCAGACCAAAACCAAAACTGAAGTTTCTCCTTACATGTGTTAGGATGGCTTTTATTTAAAAAAGAACGAATAAAAAAAGCAAGAGATAACATGCAATAAAATGTTAAGAGAACATATATTTATGCAACCACTGAGGAAAACAGTAGATTCCTACAGAAATTGAAAACAGAACATTAACCTAGCAATCCCTCAAAGGAAATGAAATCACCATCTCATAAAAATATCTGCTTTCTCATTCACTGCAACATTATTTACTGCATCTGTCAATGGATGAATGAAAAAATTGTGAGGCACACACACAGAGATAGGAAAGAGATCCTGCCACTTGTGAAAGGATGAAGAGGGCAGGCACTGTGGTGCATGCCTGCAATCCCAGCACTCAGGAGGCTGAGGCAGGAGGATCGCAGTGAGTTTGAGACCAGCCTGGGCTACAAAGTGAGCTCAAGGCCAACTTGAGCTGCATAATGAGACCCTGTCTCAAAAAGACACACACACACAGAGAGAGAGAGAGAGAGAGAGAGAGAGAGAGAGAGAGAGAGAGAGAGAGAGAGCTAAAGAGAGGACTTAGAAAGTCTTACCTTTTTAAATGTTTCCCGAAGCATGAAACAATCAGCTGTGCCTAAAACTAATCTGTTCCTTACATATTTAGAAAGGGAGAATTCATCGGAAGCTTTGTAAAGCCAAGTGGCATAGTTACAAAGACTATGGTTAAGAATGGATCTGTAATTTGTGTAGACAATATTCCCTTATTTACTTCAAGCCAGGCCTGTGGTGCACATGTATAATCCTAGCACTTGGAAGGCTGAGGAGGGAAGACCACCACAAGTCTGAAGCCAGCCTGGGCTACATAGTGAGTTCAAGGTCAGCCTGAACCTCATAACTAGATACTGCCAAAAAAAAAAAAATCCTCATTTATTACACATGAGTATCCCTTTGATACTACTGTGATCTACTGTCACATCTGTTCACAATGCAGGGTCCACCTCTTCCAGGGAAACTATAGAATACAACATAATCTCAGCTCTGTGCAGAAAGATTCCTGCATTGAAAAAGCAGAAAAATAGCACCCAAAACCTGTAACACTACTACCTATTAGAAAACACTTCTCATGGGGCCGGGAGATGGCTCAGTGGAATAAACGCTTCCCTGGCAAGCGCAAGGACCTGAGTTCAATCCCCAGTTTCGCAAAAAAAAGAAAAGAAAACACTTCTTCTCTAACAGTGGGTCTTATGCTGCAGCAGGCATCAGAATGGTCTGAAAGAATTTTAGAAATGCAGATTTAAATTTATTACACAATGTGAGTGTAGTCCAAGAATGTGCATGTGAAACAAGCATGTCAAGCAGTTATAATTAGATTCAAAATTAAGCCCAAATTCTGGCATCTTAACTATCGATTTTTATAAGAATTGCCCATCACATATGCTTAATACCCACATATCAAGTCCCTCCATGGTCTGCAAGGCCTGTCCCCATCTGGCGCAGATCTTCACAACCTCATCTACACCACATCTCTACCTTGCACTCACCTAGTCCAGAACTGTGCTGGACACTGATATCTTCCCTCTCTTTCTTCTTCTTTGCTTGTGTGAGACTCTTTATTTTAAATACACACAGATGAGGGGAGGGGGGTATATGGCTATCTGCAGCAGGGGAGTGTAAAGCCAGCTTCTCTCCCTTGCTAAACATGGGTGACTTCCAAGCCTCAAGTTACTCCTGTATAGACATGGAGATGAAAATAGCCACTCAACCTTGCGTGGTGGCACATGCCTGTAATCTCAGCACTCAGGAGGCTAAGGCAGAAGCAAGATCAGTGTGAATTCAAGGCCAGCCTGGGTTGCAAAGTGAGTTCAAAGTCAGCCTGAACCGCATAGCGAGACTGTGTCTCAAAGACAGCAAATAAAAGAGACAGAGACAGACAGACAGACAGACAGACAGACAGACAGACAGACAGGAGGAAAAGGAGAAATTAGCCACTCTTGAGCTATTACAAGGCATAGGCAACATTTAGTTGCCTATTGGTCTTGACCCCCAATAAAGCCTTCACTCTTCTGAGGAAAAATTAATCTTAATTCTAAAATTTTATTTATTTATGTGTGTGTGTGTGTGTGTGTGTGTGTGTGTGTGTGTGTGTGTG